CTGTGCACAGGGTGGAGTCCTAGAGGGGAAAAAAGAGCTGCACAGAGAGAACTCTGCTGATCTGAAGGTCTCAAGTACTTAACAGAGTACTGATTAGCACATACAAGCAAAGGAATTAACTGAGGCTGGAGAAAGAACCATTCAAAAGAATTAGAACAATCTTTGGGGATCATGCAGGAATGGGAATAGTATCTGTTTTCATTTTCAGGGAGGAAAACCTTATAATTCAGGTTAGAGTGGAAAGATGAGTCTTACCTCAATAAAAGGGGGCAAATACCCTTCCTTAGCCTAAACAATTCTTAAAAGCAAGACTTAACCAAATCAAATTACTTGTTTCCAAGTAATGTAAGCACATCCCAGGACAAACATCAAAAATATCTATAGGAATACAAAAATATCCAGCACGCTATGAGGTAAAATTCACAATACTAATATTCAATAAAAATTTACCAGGCATACCACTCTGGACAAATTATGGAGATTCTTCAAAAAATTAAAAATTACTACCATATGACCCAGCAATTCTACTTCTAGATGTTTATCTAAAGAAAGTAACAAAAGCACTGATTTGATAATATACAGGGTCCAGCACAAATAACATCCCTTTTTATTACATAAAAACCTTTTATTACAAAATCATAAGCCTGTAATTCTGTAACACAACGATATCACACTCAAGCGCACCATATGACAGTTTAGGTGAAATGTTCAAATTGCTGTCCATCTCGTGCGAGACATTCATGTACGCTATCAACCACACCTAATGGTGTTACTTCTGCCGGACCCTGTATATGAACCCATATGTTCACTGCAGAATTATTTACAATAACCAAAATTTGGAAGCTACTTAGGTATCTATAGACAGATGAGTGAATAAAGATGTGGTATATATTTATATATACTAGGATATTACTCAGCAATAAAAAACAATGAAACCTTGCTATTTTCAACAACATAGATGGATCTAAAGGGTATTATGCTAAGTGAAACAAGTCAGAGAAAGATAAATACCATATGAATTCATTTACACGTGGAATCTTAAAGAACAAAACAAAACCAGATTCATAAAAACAGGACAAACTGATAGTTGCCAGAGGGGAGGATGTAAAGGGATGAGTGAAAAAGGTGAAGGGGAATAAGAAGTATAAACTTCCAGTTATAAAATAATAAGCCATTGAGATGTAGCAAACAGCACAGAGAATTCAGTCAATAATATTGTAATAACTTAGTACAGTAACAGACGGTTACTAAGTGTGGTGATCACATTGTAAGGTAAACAAATGCTGAATCACTATGTTGTACACCTGAAACTAATATACTATTGATGTCGAGTGTAATTTAATGTAGTTTGAATAACAAAAATTACCAGGCATGAGAAGCAGAAAAATATAACCCATAATGAGAAGAAAAATCAATCAACTGAAACTGATTGAGAAATGACAGAATAAGTATACAAGTACATTGAAAAATTTATTATGACTATTTCACCTGTTCAGAAGCTAGAGGGAAGACTGAATATGTTAGAGACATGGAAAATATAAAAAATAATCCAAGTTTCACTCTAGAGAGGGAAACTATATTGTCTGAAGTGAGAATGTTTTGGGCGGGATTAACAAGAGATTATACATTTCAGGAAAAAAAATGAGTGAACTTGAAGGCAAGCAATAGACACTATCCAAAGTGAAACACAAAGATTAAAAAACAAAAAAAATTGACAGGCATTAGTGAATTGTAAGACATTACCAAGTGATCAAATATACCTATAATTAAAGTCTCCAAAGGAGAAGTGAGGGGAAACCAAAAAATTTGAAAAATAATGGTTGAAAAATTTTCAAATTTGATGAAAATTAAGCCACCGATCAAAAACAAACAAACAAACAAACAAAAAGTAGATTTCAAACACCAGAAAGATGAATAAAACTACACCAAATCTCATAATCAAACTGCTTAAAAATCAATGATAGAGGAAAAGTAAAAGCAGACAGGAAAAATGGAGACATTATACACAGAAGAAGAAAGAAAATGATTAAATGTTTTCTCTTTAGATCAGGAACAAAACTACAATGTCTAATCTCACCACTTCTATTCAGCTTTTCTGTGGAGGTCTTATTCAGTGTAATAAAGTAGGAAAAAGAAATAAAAGACATCCACATTGGTAAGGAAGCAGTAAAACTGTCTTCACTCATAAGACAATTGTCTATGTTAAATACCAAAAAGCTACCAGAAGTACTAAGTGAGTTCTGCAAGGTTGTAGGATACAAGGTTGGTATAAAAGAATGCACTGTGTTTCTAGATAGTAGCAACAAGCAATTAAAAATTAAAATTTGAAAAGCAACACCATTTATCATAGAATAAAAATATGAAATACGTAGGGGTGTGTAAAACCTGCACATTGAAAACAACAAGACACTGCTGAGAGAAATTAAAGAAGACCTAAGTAAATGGAGAAAAATGCTGTGTTAATGAGTTGGGAAATACAATATTGTTAAAATGTCAGTTCTCCCTCAGTTGTCCTATAATTTAATGCAATGACAATTAAATCACCAGTAGGCATTTCTTTTTGTAGAAATTGACAACCTGATTCTAAAGTTCATATGAAAATGCAAAGGACCTGGGAGAAGCAAAACAAGTTTGAAAAAGAATAAAATTGGATGGATAACACAAACTGATTTTAAGATTTACTATAAAGCTATGGTTATCAAAAGAGTGTATTGGCATAAATGTATACAAAATTATCAATGGAATAAAATAGTGAGTCCAGAAATAGATCCACACATATACAATCAATCAATTTTTCAACAAAGAAACAATTCAACAAATGCTAGAACTGGGTGTCCACAGGTGAAAAAACAACCATAACCATCAATATATATACTGTTATCCTTATCTCTTACATTGTACACAAAAATTAACTAAAAAATATCACAGGCCTGAATCTAAGAAATCATAAGAGAAAATCTTTGTGACATTGGGTTAGGCAAACATTTCTTAGATATGACACTAAAAACACTATCAATAAAATTTAAAAATTGATAAACTGGACTTCATAAAAATTAAAATCTTCTACACTGAAAGACACCAAAGAGAGAATGAAAAGACAAATCACATAGTACAAGAAAATATTTTCCAATCACATTCATGAGGATATAGAACTGGAATGTTCACACACTGCTGGTGGAAATGTAAAATGGGACAACCAGTTCAGAAAATAGTTTGGCACTTTCTTAAAATGTTAAACATACAGCCCAATTATCCTGCTCCTAAATATTTACCCAAGAGATATAAAAGCATATATCCAAACACAGACCTTTACACAAATGGTCAAAGCAGCTTTCTTTCTAATACCTAAAAAATGTAAACAACCCAAATGTCTACCAAGAAGTAGCTGGACAGTGAACAAATTATTGTACATCCATACAATGAAATATTACTCAGCAATAAAAAGTAATGAACTATTAGTACACACTATAACATGAATGAATCCTGGGTGAATAAAACTAGACCCCTTCTCCACTGAAAAAAAGTAATTTCTGAATAATTCCATTTTGTATTAAATTGTAGAAAAAGCAAACTAACCTATGGTAACATTATCAGTGGCTGCCTGGGAATACAGAGGCAGGGAAGGGCACAGTGGAAGATACAAAGGATTACGAGGAAACTCTGGGAGTGAGGGGTATATTCATGATCTTAATTGTAATGGTTTCAGGGGTGTACATAAATGTCAAAACATTTCAAGTTTCATACTTAAAACACATGTAGTTTATTATATGCAATTATATTTCAATAAAGCTGTTAACTTTTAAAATTGAATAAAATTGAAAGTTCAATTCATCAGTTACCCTAGTCACATTTCAAGTTTTTAACAGCCACATGTGGCTAGCAGCTACCATTTTGGGCAGCAAAGAATAGAACTTTGCCATCAACGTTCAAGTTCTCTTGAAGAGCCCTGATCTAACACATGCAAAAAAAAGCTGTTTCTTTCATTTCTCCTACATCTACCTACCCTAAACTTCAAGAATGGCAATAAGGATGGCAGCATGGCACTGATACATAAATTATTTGAGAATTTTAAAAAGCAGATTTTAGTAAGTTTAATGTAACTGTAGTGGAGAACATACCTTTTATTTATAAATACATATAACACAGTGTTTCCTCGTTTAAATATCACAGCTTCTGTGGACTACATTTAATTAGCTCCCTCCAAAGCTCAAGTTGAAGGTAATTTTAAAATAAATGACATGGAAAGAAATGAGAAAGATAACACCCCTCTGGAACTTTATCCTTGTAATCAAAGTGGTTATAGTTTCAGTATAACTCCTAAATGAGAATATACCATTTTTTCAGATACTCACAGATATCTGTTAACTTTTTGTTCAGTTTCAGAAAATGCTACATAATGCAACTGAATTTTCCTATTTAAAAAACATCAAGCATATAACTCACCACAAATATAATCAGAAATTTCAAATGCGGGAACAGACATTAAAATAAAATGCTATGGTATGCACTGAAATCTTTCACATTCAAAGAAAATTTCATAAAATTAGCACAGGAAAGTTGTTAAAACTTAATATGCTCACTGAAGCTTTTTTCCTTCCTTCATTATAGCTTTCAGTTTTGAGAAAGGTGATTTTACTTAAAAACACTTGAACTCTATTTTCTGTCCCCTTGTAGCCTATGGATTTGGAAGGCTACTCGATGTTTTGGGGTTTTATCCCCATACACAGAATGCAGGGCTGAAATCCTGAACCATCCGTGTTCCAAAGCTTGATCCACTAACCCTTTCTGCACAGTTTGATGTCTGAGTCATCTGTCTTAGAAATGGAATATGGAAAAAGGCAACTGGGGTTAAGGTGAGAAAAGAGGCTGGTGGCCAGTGTAGACCAACCAAGACAAGACAAGCCCAAACAGTGCCTTGTAGTAGATAAGCAAGAAGTATAAAAATAGAAACCAAGTCCCTCTGTTTGCAGAAGCAGAACTCACAAGCCAGTTTCACTTACTTTTTTACACCGACAGAGCCATTTTCCTTGTTTTCCATGTCAACAGATAGCATGGGAAGGCTGCAGGGTTCCTTTAGTTCAGCAACTAATTAATAAGGGAGAAAAGCTTGTGTTTAATTCTTAGAAAGTGAGAGAAGAATATATATTCTGAATCGGAAACATAATGGTTCCTTTTACAGCTTCACACCAGTTCACGTATGTTTGTTTAAATCTCCAGTTCCCTCAGCGATTGGAGAGATGTGATTAAACCTAAAGAACTGGAGGAGACGGGCAGGGGTGCTTTCCTCTGCACTGGCACTCCCTGCCTTGACAATAAGCATTTGCAAATGAAATTGAATCCTTGTTCAAAACAAGTTCTGTGTGAACTGGCACAGCTTCCTCTGGGTGCAAGCTCTCACTTAAGACATTGCAACTCACAAATTGAGGCAAAGTCGAGAAAAACAATCCCCCTTTTCCTGCCCCTTTCCACCATGGGCTGTGATTTCTTTTTTCTTATTGCATTTGGGTTGGTTTTTTTTTTTTTTGGTTCACTCCCTCTCTTTCTATATTTTTTCATAACAATGCCAAAGAGCACTTAAAGCTTTTGTCAGCAAGTATCCCCCTACCTCACATACTCTCAATGAAAGCCTCAAAAACCCGTGAGATGGCCATGCTTTGATAAAGCTGGAAGCTCACAAAAATGTCAGATAGCCTTTAGCACGGAAAGGTGGTGCTGGGGTGTGTGGAAGAGAGGGTAGGCAGCTAATTAGGTTTATGTAAAAATCACCAAAACATCCGAGGAGATATAATAGCATCCATCACTTTGTCTTTTTGTTTAGTAGGATGAGCACTGTGAAAAAATAAAAAACCCCCCCGCAACTAATATGCAATTAGCAAGATGAAAAACCTATGAACAAAACTGCTTTAAAAAAAAAAAAAAACTAGTTCTGAAACGTGCTTGCTCTTCTACAGCTGAAGCCATAAATTAAATACATTTCCTCTCAAATCACTTTATACTTCGGCACTCCTTCTCTAGGGATTACTCTGACATGACAAGTGCATCATTTAGTATATTCACAAGATTTTATCACTGTTAGAGAAGTAGATGATTAACAAATAATACTGTAAGTGTGGGATAATCTTCACTCCACACACACACACACACACACACACACACAAACTTCCAGCTGCTAAAGCACTTAGAGCATTCACAGAGAAATCCAACATTGCATATACATATAGGTATTAACATACATTCACACACCGTCACAGAGGAGACAGAAGATAGTGCTGCTGCTCCATGCCAAAAGAATGATTTCACTTCAGTTGGAAACTGTTAACACATTCACCATTTTCTAAGCATCTCAGAAAACAAAACAAAACAAAACACTCACAATGATACTCTGTAACACCACACTACATTGTCTTATTATTATTATTTTCTCTTTTTTTTTTTTTTTTTGGTGGAAGAGTAAAAAGAAAACCTACCTAGAAGCAACTAAAACATGTCATTTTTTATAGGCTTATCAAGAACAGCCAAAGAAACCCCAATGTTTTCTTTCACAAAGTAGGCTGGCAAAGGAATTCAATAAGGAGGTACAATTTGACACAGTGAAATAAAACCAGGCTGGCTCTGAGCCAACATGACGTTAGGAATCACACACAAGCTGCACCAACTGCCTTCTGGTTCATGGCTGACTTTTTAAAGCTACAGTGTGCCCGTTCACTTTTGCTAACTACCTTCAGCCCAATTAGTGGGAGTGAATGAATCCCGAGTGCAAGAACTGCAGAATTCTCCCTGCACCTCTCTCGCACAAAGAAAAACAAGCTGTATCAATAGCTTATTTTCACCCTCCCCTTCATTGTTGCTGCATGGTAAGTGTTTGCTATTGTTCTGAACATGAATGTCATGTTTCAAACTCTTTTTCTCCCCTGTGGGAGAAAAGAAGAGAAGAGAAAGAATCTAGTGCTTGTGGACTATAACCAGTGAACATGCAGAAGCTGCAGTCCCATGTTTCTCTTTTTTCCTTATAGAGACTTGGATACAAAGTTCCCAGGGCTGGCTTTCAAGCAATCGCTTTGTGCGGATAAGGAAAGCACTGCCCAGCAGAAAGTCCTTTTACCTCATTATGCAGGAAATAACGTATTTCAGAGGATGCAAAGTAGATGACCATATCTCCTGAGAACACCCACATTCTTTTATTTTGGGATTCATCCTACCAGATGAAGTTAGCAAAAATTAAAAATGAAGCAAACTTTATTCACCCAAACAATTAGTTCTGGGAGATTTAATTTTAACTGTTTATCCCAGTTGCACAAAAAGCATAATTTCATACATTCAACTCACACTTATTATCTATGAGCATTGGTACTCTATTAGTTACATATGAAAAAGAAGATACCGTGCCAACCCTCAAATTCATAGTATCTCCCACCATCCTAAATCCCAGTTCAGGAAATTAGGAGGTGGAAGGGAGACTGGGCATGGTCTTTCGATGAGGGAACCTTGGGCAATCTCACAGTTCTCTTGCTTTGCTGGAAGCCAGGCTGGAGACAAACATTCCCACTCCACCAACATGCTGCAAACACATGAAACACATAGTTGCCAATATTGGGACACTTTTAGGCCAAAATATGAACAAAACCACTCAAGAGAAGGCAGAGAATACAGGTTCCCAAGAAGGATCCTAGAAAAAGTCATCTGCTACTATAATACTGTTTAGATTTTAGGCAGAGCTGAAGAGAAATCTGTGAGTCACCCTTTTCCTTAGTACTTTTTAAGGTCGCCAGAAGATCAGGAACTATGATCTAAATTTGCAACCTGAATTTAAAAGGGAAAAAAAAATTTCTCTTACTTATCCCGGAAATGAAATTAGAAATTTTCAACTTCTTGAAAACCCATTGCTGAGAAAGATTTCTCTCTGTCCCTCTTTGCCATTGCCCCTTGAAAAAGCAAACAATAATTTAGATGACACTTCTAAGTGTTCATATATTTTTGAGTACAATTTATGGAGCATGGGTCAAATAAGTGGGTCTTTAACCATTGCTGATCAAAATGATGAACTGTTCTGGAGACAGAGAGCTATTTCACCCCAACAGATTGTATAATGCTTTTGGAATTGATCTGCAGTTCCTGAACTGTTCCTTAACTAAATTCAAGTGGAACTGGGCAGGGCTGTGAGTCCTGGGGGCAAGGAAGGTAGCTTGACAGTGCTCTCATGCCACTTTTCAGAACAAAATCAGGTCCAGGCTCTACTCTTGAAAGGACGGGCAATGGAAATGTAGTTACACCCAACTCTTCCTTAGACACAATCATGGGAAGCAGGATTCTGTGAAGATTCTCCAAGAATTTCTTGCTACGTATAGAAAAGAACATCCTCTCCTGTCTTGCCTGCTGTGATCAAAAGTTTGGCTGAGAAGAGCGTAAGGGTTTATGAAGGTGTAGGAAATAATCCCATTTATAAATAATTAGCCACAAAGGCATTCTAAATTCTGACACCAGGAGGTTTCACATATGAACTAGTTTCTAACTTTGGAATAAATTGACATTTGTGGGTATAAGTATATATACTAGGGCTCACCCACTTCCTCCTCACTCCCTTCAACAAACTAATGTGAACCTTTTCTACCAATAAAAATGTGGATGTAGTGTGTATGGTATTCGTGGCGTGTAGCATAAATGGTGTGTAATGCACAAGGTGGGGACCAAAAAAAAATCACAGAATTATCTTCTGGGGGGTGAGCCCCTTATAGTACAGGCTTCCCCCACTAGGTGGGTGTTCTAGGAACCCATCTGTATCAGTGCACCAACTGGCATTGTTGTGAGAAGCTGCATTCGGCTTCAGTGAAATTTTTTTGGAGACTCTTTCAAGGCATTTGCCCATTTCACGATGGGTGATTTATAAGCACACCTGTCCACAACGAGCTGTGTTCAGCAGTTTTTGACCAAAAACAGTATGACTCTCATGACCCTCTTTCCCTATTCACCTGACCCGGAGTGACTTTTTTTTTTTTCTTTTTTTGTATTCCCAGATGAAAAAAAGTCCTCAAAGATAAACTTTGCCAATGTGGAAGAGGTGAAACAAAGTATGGCAGAAGCACTAAGAGGCATCAAAACAGAAGAGTTCAAAAACTGTTTTAAGCAGTAGGAAAAAGTCTCAATAGGTGTATTGCATCAAATGGAGAGTACTTGGAAGGTGACTGAAGTTTAAACATGTAAGAACAAACTCACAATATTTTATAAATAATTCCGTTTTCTCGGTCCCCCCTCGGATGTGTGTGCAATGCATACGTGTGATGAGTATAATGTTTATACTGTGTGCATTGTGTGTGGCTGTTGTACCTGTTTGTGGCGTGTGTAATGTGTATATGTGTTTGCAGGATGTGTAGCGTCCATGGTATGATTGTGTGTTAGTCTAGGGTGTGAGAGATGCAAACAGACAAGATCCTCTGATCCAGGATATTATGGACTGTGCTAAAATACCTTCGTTGATCCTCGGGTTGGGATTCTGGAGCAGAACTTTCGAGCACACTTGGGAATGGGCTCAGTTGTGGGGGGAGATGGGTCAGAAAGGGATGGAAACAGGCGACTCCCTTAGGCTTCTTTTATTGATAGGAGTCATCCCCCAGAGAGAGCAGCCTTCCCAGAAAGCCAGTGCCACTCCAAAGGAACCAGAGCCTCTGTCTCTTGGCCGGAATGGGCCCCCAAGAGGGTCCAGTCCACATCAGAGCGCAGACCTGGGTCCATATGGCTGCAGAAGAAATCTCGAGAAGTCTCCCGAGGGCACGGCAGAGTTCAACGGGTCTCCGAAGGCGGCTCAAGGGAAAGTGAGGAGATGCCTGGAAAAGGGGCGCTGGGCGCAAGACAGAGGACCGGAGAGGGGACGCCAGAAAGCCTCTTGGACCTGCGGCGCCGTCCAAAAGCCAAACGACTCGCTTGTGGCACTGGCGACAGAGGGAAAAGTTTCTGGCCAAGAGTTTTCAAGAAGAAACGGTTCGCTTTGAGTTTGGGGGCTCCCCGGGGCAGCCTGTCTTTGTAAAGGGAGTGCGGTCCCAGCCGAGCCACCACCCGGCTCCATCCCGGGAGCTCTACTCCGCAGCCTCCGCCGGCCGGGCACGACTCTGCCCCCAGTTCCACTCCAGGGTGACACTCTCGCGGGTGCAACAAGCTGAAGAGGTACCAGACACACAGCAGAGACGAGGGAGGGTTTTTATTGGGATTTTCTTCGTTTCTTTTAACCCTGGAGAAGGGAGAGGGTGGGAGCGTCCCCACTGCCCTCGCAGCACTAGTGGATCACTCACCTCTCCGCATGGCCGGTGCCGGCAGACTTTACCCGGCGCAGAGCTCGATGGACGCCGCGCGCCCAGCCCCAGTGCCGCCGGCCGGGCGCGCGCGGCTCGCCGGGACTTGTAGTTCTCCCCGAGCCGGCGGGGCTGGGCGGGGGTCGATGGTGGGGCCACCAGGAACAGGGGAGGCCGGGAAGTGAAGCGATGGGAACGGCCTCCAGAAGGGGTCTTGTGAATGGGACGGAGGACAGTTTTAAGACCTTACAGCTCACAGGGGCTGGGGGAAGGGAACACTCTTAGAAGGACTTTTACATTGAGGATTTCAGACGATTACCACGTTTTATTCAGTGGGTTTTGAGCAGTAAGGAGAAAGCGATTTCCCAGGCCAAGTTTATGTTATTTAGTGCCTTTATTACTTCTTCACCCCCAGCACACACGTGACATTCCTGCTTGAAACACCTATTCTGTTGCTCACAGAGTAACTTAGTTGAAGCCCTGGATATGCAAAGGGAGGGCAAATAATTGAACCTTATATTTGTAGAACACTCTACAGTTTATAAAGCACTTTGTGCTTAACTGATTCATTATATTAGAACCATAAAGCAACACTGAGGCAGAGAAAAACTCAGAATACAGGGATTTTTGTGTGTGTTAGCACCTGCCAAGTTTGGAGCCACTCACACTCTCCATTTCCTTCCAGAACCTTCTCTTGGGGGGAGGTAGGTAGAAACACTGCAGACAGATGTGGTGGGGAAGTGAAAGAAGAGGAGCCTGCTGTAAAGGACTCCCTTGAAATAGCTGATGAGTAATTCCTTATTAAATAAGGATGTAAGTAAAGTCAAAAGAAGAACCTGTGGATTGGAAGAATAGAGGGGGAAGGAAAAGGCAGGGGGGATAGGGATAGAGACTGAATAGAAAATTGGGATTAGTTTTGAGGCCCTAGGAAAAATTGTGTATATATTTTTTTAAAGCAAAAACAAGTTTTAGAAGCCATATAGACCTGAAATCTTGGTGGTGTCACTCTGGAGCTACCTCTGTGATTTTAGGTAAGTTATTTAACCTTCCAAACCTCATCTTTAAGATTTAAGTAATAGTTCCCAAACTTTATGATGTGGCTGTGGAGATTAAAGGACATGGAAAGCACTTAGTATAGTGTAATTATTCTTTATTATTAATTAATTAAAATTTTAAATAATATTAATATTTTATAGTATAATAAATAGTATTTATACTTATATGCTAGGCATTATTATCTGCAGAAACTCCTTTTGTGGAAACATCAAAAGATA